TCGGGCACCGCCGAGCCCCTGCTGCTCTCCTCCCCGGAGCACAGCGAGCGCTGGGGGCAGGTCAGCCAGGCCTTCGCCTCCCTCCTGGGTAAGAGCCCGTGTCCCCCCAGGAGGGAGCAGAGCCCTGCAGAGCTGTGCCCAGGGGGGAGCAGGCTGGTCCCCACTCTCCCCACACCAAAACTCGGGCTCCTGTCCCGGAGGACAGCCTGCGGCCCTCGGCATTGGCGTGGCCGGTGCCAGGAAGGGAGAGGAGGGACGTCAGAGCAGCAGGGTCCCCCGCAGGGATGGCATCCCGGGGCTCAGCTCCGCAGCTTGTCCCAGGACCACCCTGGGGACCTTTCTGCCGCTCCCTGAGGCCGCGTTTCCTCCCACGGGTGCCAGCCCTTCCTCTCACCCTTCTCTTCCCCTCCAGATCTCACGCCGACCATTTTGGACTGGTTCTCCATCCCCTACCCTTCTTACAGCATCTTTGGCACGAAGCGGGTGCAGCTCACCGGAAAGTCTCTCCTGCCAGCGCTGGAGTCGGAGCAGCCCTGGGCCACTGCCTTCAGCAGCCAGAGCCACCACGAGGTGACCATGTACTACCCCATGCGAGCCGTCCAGCACCAGCAGTTCCGCCTCATTCACAACCTCAACTACAAGATGCCCTTTCCCATCGACCAGGACTTCTACGTCTCACCCACTTTCCAAGACCTGCTCAACCGCACCAGGGCCGGGCAGCCAACCCACTGGAACAAGACCCTGCACCAGTACTACTACAGGGACCGCTGGGAGCTCTTTGACTGCAGCCGCGACCCCACCGAGAGCCAGAACCTGGCCCCTGACCCCCGCTACGCCGCCATCTTCCAGCAGCTTCGCACGCAGCTCTTGAAGTGGCAGTGGGACACGGGTGACCCCTGGGTGTGTGCCCCCGACGCTGTCCTGGAGGAGAAACTGAGCCCCCAGTGCCGGCCGTTGCACAACGAGCTGTGAGCCTGGGGCTGACACGGCGCGGGGATGCTCCCAGCAAACAGCGTCTTTATTCACAGCACTGCTCCCTCACCCCCCCGCACAGATCCCCCTCCCCAAAAACACAGGGAGGAGACTCCCGACAGTCCCTCAACAGGTTACCACTTCCTCACGTTAACAGGTTTGCTGTCTCACGAGGCACTTGGGTCTTTTTTTCCCATTTGGAGGAGATGAGGGTTTCCCCATCCCAGGGGGTTGTAACAAGCCCCCTCGATGCAAGTCCAGTGCGCACATCTCCAGTTACCGCCGGTTAGCGTGAAGGGAAGCCAAAGCCCAGGAGCCGCGCTGCGTGGGAAGAGCAGCGGCAGCTCCGGTTTCATGAAGGACAGAACGGATTCAGCCCCAGAGCCCGAGGGAGCAGCATCGCCTCTCCCTGCCCAGCGGTGCGGGCTCAGGACCAAGAGATCACAAACTGCTCCCACATGGGCAGCGACACGGGGACTCTCAGCACCTGAGGGGGAGAAGGAAGGGTCAGCACGGTGAGAACTGGCCAGGACAGAGCCGAGGGGCTGTCGGAGCCCAGGGGGTGTCACGCTCCCCCTGAGGCGCACACAGAGCCGCAGCCTGGTACGGCCCCGGTCCCCCAGATGCCCCGGGAAGGGTGCCCATGGCACAGAGCCCCAGGGGCAGAGCTGTACCACTGCTCCTTGCAGAGCCCCACCCCCGGTACCACGCATCCCTTCCATCCTCCATCTCCCCATCCTTGCCCCTGGCACGGCCTAATCCTGCCCAGCCCCAGGGCAGCGACCCAGCCCATGCTGGGCAGCCCTTCACGCTCCTTGGTGCCAACAGAGCGGGTACCGTGCATCGCTGGGGCCAAACCCC